TTGACTTTGAGGTCAAGGTCTCGGTCGGACATAAAATTTCCTGCTTTTCCCAATTCCAGTAAAAAAGAGGAGTTTCCTTTGAAAATGTTAAATTGACTTTGAAGGTCATAATCAAGATCATTGCATCATAGGTTACTTTTGGGTGACTCCCACAAGCCTCACAATTGTACTGTCAAACATTTTTGCTAGAGCAAACTGCTTTGAACGACCTGGTTTGATCTTGAAATAACCTTGAAGGTCAATCATATTTGTATGCAAAATTTCCTATTCTATACTTAAAGGTCATCATCGAGATCATGACCAAAGTCACCAATATTTATTTTTCGAAATATATAGGCGGAGCTATTGAAATGGGACACGCTGTATATTTAAAGTAGAACGTGTTGCGACCATGCACTCAGATAAAAATGATAAGTTAAATATTCTAAAATGGGTGAATTTTGGGTAAAAATGTCAAAATTTGGAACATTGGAATAATCAAGAAAAATATTGAGGAAAGGCTAAAATAGATATATTCTAAATAAATGCAAAAATAACATGGCTGCGATCAACTTGAGATGTAAGTAAAGTTTTAGGACCAAAACCCCACTTATAGACCCTGGTCCTTTACTTTGAGTAAATGCAGCTAAGAGTAGTAGAAGTGAAAATATTGTGTTCAAATAAATTAAACGATCATTCATTTCATGTCCACTATTCTACCCTGTATATAGGGTGTTTCGGAAAAACAATTCAAAACTAATAAATAATATAAAAAAATGAAAAGCGGTCGTATCAACATGGTTCTTAAAATGACCACCCATTGAAATTATATAATAATTTTGAAATTGAAAAAATATTTATTCGTAGTGGATTAAAATTTTGATGTTAAAGTTTGTACATGTAGTACTAACATCATATAAAAACTTCCGTGCCTGAGACTGATCCAGTCGCATATAGAAATTGGGAAATTTTGGCTACTACTGAAGGAAAAGTAATTGATTTTCTACGTAGCGGACTTTTTTCGAACGTGTAAAGCATTTTTGAATAAGATATTTCATTTTACATGAATTGTCACTCATGAGAAATTATTGGCAGAAGATTTCTTCCAGCGAAACATTGGTTTGAATGTTTGAGTTGAGATTGGTATAAAAAACATGAACCCATTCTACTTTGAAATTATGCTGAGGTTAGTGAAGTTTGGCATTGATAATAATTGTGCGTAGTTTATTAGGAAAATCATCCGAACTTACCAAAGCGTCATGTTAGAAATATTCATGTTTTGTCATTATTCAGTCTCATTGGTGTAGCACAAATCTACAACATTCTATATCTAGATAGTGGAACATTTTAGGAACTCTGTCTAAAGGAATATTTTTGTTATTTTTGGGTGAACATTCTACCCCAGGAATGTCACTACGTTTTTCTGAAACACCTTATATATCACGTTACGCACACAAAAATCATAAAAATGTGTATCAAGTTAGTAAGGTAGATACTATATACAATATACGTTGCAAAGCACCATTTATTGTTAATAAATTATATATGATAATATAAATGACATAGCGTTTTATACGAAGTTAAATTACTGTAGGTACTATTCAAAATAAAATCTTAGTGTACTCAGTCGATTGCATGCAAAATGCTAGCCTCAAAGAGTGGTATGATTCACAGATGTTAAATAAAAAAATATGTTAATAAAGTATTTATCCGGCAAACGGAAAATTGAGAGGTCTTAATAGCGCTGTGTACCGGGGCTACCATTAAACTGTTTCTAAGATTTCAAAAATGTGCGTGGTTCTAATATGTTCCTTGTACTTCATGTTATGACATTGCTTCTGAGCATATCGGCTTAATAAAGAAGTGGTATAATGTGGCTCGATGATTTAAAGAACCGAAAACCAGTTTTTGAGCCTAGCTTTATCATGAATAGGTATATAAATTCGCAAAAGACATATATTAAGAAAGGGTAAATGAAAATACGAGTATAGATATATTTAAATGTTCATTGTCACTAATTTTAAATAGACGAAGTCAACCAATGTATTGTGCCTTACAAAAATGAAACCTGTATGAACCCTATACATGGAGAAATATAATATTCACGTCACTATTCGATTTCTGGATATACCACATATATTCTCTGATATACCATAAAGATGCTAAGCAGGTAGCTTTTATTTCCAGTATAGGTAATGATTGAAATTTGATAGAATTTACCTTTTCTTAGGCCATTATCTCTCCGCAATAAGTGTATGCGAAAAGTACCCTAAATAGTAGAAACCTTCGAAAGATATAAGATATAAAATTTATTTTCTTGGAAGGGGATCATCTGCAATATATTTTAACTACTGCAGAATAAATCTAAAAACTGGTTATAACATTATTGCCATATTTCTTCTGCTAAAAACTATAAATTACCCTAATTTAAACGTGGGTAACGCTTAGCTCCATTCAAAAACTATTTACAGTTTTGGCCTAATGAAATTACGGCATTTTTTTTCTCAGTTATCAACATGAAAATATAATTTGATACATCCTGCTCTGTGGGTGCCATCCAAAGGTTTTACGTAACCGACACTAAAAATGACCTATACGTTTATCGAACTTTCAGTTTATAGGTGCTTTGTCTCTTTAGGATACTTACAAAGTTTAGTTTTATATAACTTGTATGTTAGATTAAGGCTAGAAGTTTAATAAATAAATTGTTTCCAGATACCTCATTTGTTTTTTTTTGTAATCCTTTTCAATGCGATAATACTAACACAAACACTATCCAGAATATGTGGGCAACCTTTTGAATTCCAAGGTACAAGTTTGAAGTGCCCGATTTTACTATTGACCGGAGGGAATTAAAATCTTCACCATTGGCATAAATTAGACCAATGGGAAGGAGTCTTTGAAGTAATGAATCTAATAAATGTGGTCGATTTCTCGTAAAATGTCTCTCAAAATGGATAAAAATTATACTATGTATTTGTGTGATATGGGCTCCAGTTCTCATGTTAAATCAAGCAATACTACATATGTCACACAATTCTGCTACAAAAATTCATTTTTTATTTGTTCTCGGACACAAAAATTGAAGTAAATTCCAGCAATCGTAAAGAAGGATTTGTGGTCCACTCGAAACATGGATCAAACCAGATACAATATTTTTTTATTGAAAATAATGGTGTGTCTCGCTTTCCAATCAATCCTTTGAAGATATGAATAAAATTACAAAATGCTCATCTTTAACAAACATTGAGTAAATAATCAATTTGCTTAACTACCTTGCGAAAAACCCTGTTAGTCAAGCCAGTCCTGTTACTGTTAACAGGAAGATACCGCGCACTCTAGACTATGCCAAGCCGCAGTAACGGCGACAAGGCTTCCCAACGGCTTCCAAAATCTCTAATAATAATAATGCAGCCGATCTGCTTGGACTCGTTCAAGCTGCCACGGAATCAGCATCCGTTGCTGGAGCGTTTGATACCACAAAGTAATGCTTGTCTAACGACATCAAACAGATGATTTATGAAAAGCGTCGCGTAATCAAACAGGCAACAAGGACCCGGGCAACAGATGAAATTTCGACTGCAACAACTTAGTCGACTCGGTGCGGAATGCCATTTCTGAACTGAGAAAGTAACGATGTTCTGACTTTCTGGGATCCATGCTTCACTCATAGCCAAATTTTCATGGTCCAATAAAAAGGAAAAATCCCTCCGTTCCAGGGAGCAAGTGGCGTTGTCTGGACAACATCCACGTGATTGAAGAACAATGTATTGATCCATATTTTAGGGACCTTGAGCAAACAATATCTCGTAATACCCCGCTTTGCAGTCTTACAGAGCTTGATGGCCATATCAATTCCATTAAGATCCGTAAGGCACCGGGAAGTGATGAGATCTAAAGCTTTTAAGCTTCTCTCTGAACGATATCGGATCTATCTGCTGACGATTATTAATGCTACCACTTGCAATGTTTCCCTCTTGATCGCAAGCTTCCACATGTAATAATGATACCCAAGAAAGGAATGATGGCAGAACCGCAAGAATACCGCCCGGTCAATCCATTATTTGTTCCTAGTAAACTCGCTGAGAGAGTCATCCTTGAACGATTGCAGGATTTTCTTGTGGAGGGAGAAATCCTGCAATCCTGCACTAGCAAATCTGTATTTCAAAAAAAAGAATTTGAATTTTATAAACTGAATACTGATATTGAACAGTGTTCAAATTTCAAAATGTTTGAGGTGAAATTAAAAAATCACTTTAAGAATACTCAAAATGCATAATGATGTAATTTTAATAGACAAGAATGTAAAATTACGGAAAGTTAATTCAAAAAATGTGTAAACAGATAAAATACAAAATTGACATTGTACCATTAATGCTAAACAAACAAACTAAAAAACCAAAGAATTCGTCAGAGATAGATGTACGCATCATCAAAGAAGAAAATTCATGAGGTCACTGCACCAGTTTCTGGTTCCAAAGGTTTGTTTTGCATCCTGCTAATTACAAAATATCGGAGTCTCTCAAGTGAAATGGGCTTCAGAATGAACTTTTGACCAAATTTTTATTTCGAGGGAATATCAACATTTTGCCTCTAAAAAATTTCAGTCTAGTTATTTTTTCTAGCGTGACGTGATAAATTGTATCACACCCTATCCTTAGAATGTGACCCTACTTCTTCATTGGAGGTTAAACTTCTGTCGTCAGATGTGATGAAAATAACGTTTATTGCCCGTCACTGATAATTTTACACAAATGTATAGTCACATTCTATCGTTATCCAAAATAAGTGTCAAATTCTGATTCCTTCCCGAGATAAACAGAGGATTCAAATGCGTTTTCTTTCAAAACACAAATTTGAAATAAGCTTCTCCCAATACGTTTACGGAAAAACGATATTTCAAAAATCTATTTCAGAATAGAATTTTATCTAGATATCATACTGGAAGCAAATTTTATGAGAACGTTAAGTCACTCCAATATGGGCAATATGGAAATTCTGGGACCGAAGCTAGATCAAGATCGATACAAACGTGTTGAAGATGAAGTTATTAGAGATATAAATTCAACACATGGTATAGTTTATTAATAGCACCTGACAAAACTTTGGCAAGTTCCTTCAGAAACAGGTTATGTTTCTGCGTGAGTGAAATATTTGAAATTAGTGGTATATATTCTTTATGCTTAGCGAAAAATAAACGGCAACTATGGACGCCAATCCCTTTGGAAAGAAAGAGGACGTGTATGGATTCCAAACCTTATGGAGGGAGCTTGGATATTACATATCCAGACTTGAGCATTATGAAAGAAGTAAGTAATAAGAATCAATAATAAGGTGCCCCATACCTATTGTAACGCTTCCTTTCCGCAAAAAGTCCAGAAAAGATGGAATGCAATGAAGATTCCAACTTTTCTGCACAATCACAGAAAGGGGGTTACCATTGGGTTCCGGTAGCTCAGTCGGTGGCATGAAGACATCTACAGGCGTGTAGCTGTGTGTCGACCATGGTATGGCTAGAGGATAGAAGAACAAACAGAACACAAAAATTTAACAGATTTTATTTAACAAGAAAGCATTTTCATTACATTACAATTTTACAGTTATAGAGCCGTTTTACACACAAGAGAATTACTCCGAAAATTATGGTTATAATTATGCCGAAAATTATTGCTGTCGTATTACACCTAAAAGAATTCTTGTGAAAATTTTCATGGTAAAAATATAAAACCCGTTCTATATAATATGCGCGAGAATCGGCGCAGAGGATTATTTCCGTGCATGTCATTATCAAATGTCAACGTCAACAACATAACCCCACTTAACATTTGTGGGTATGGTCCTGTTCGAGTCGTACTACGAAGAAGCGTTTATTGTTATTGTTTATTCATAATGTCGTGGAATCAGGAAGAAGTTACACTGTTGTTGTAGGAGTACCAAAAATGGGCAAACCTGTTCAAGGTGAAGTCACCCAATTTCAAAAACAGAAATTTGCGGCGTCAGGTGCTGGATGCGATAGTCCAAGCATTGAGAAGTTTTATAATATTAACCAAGATCTCGATTTCAAAAATAAATTTAAATCAACGACGTCTGTTGTCTTTCCGATTATATTGGACGTCATACCCATTAAGGTTATGTCCATTCGAAAATATTATTCTAATGCGCAGGCGTATCATATAAATTACTCGGAAATTTTGTTTGCTTGTGTCATACAGGTTGTAGAGAAAATCTTCATATTTTTTCCATACAAATTTTCGGCATAATTATGACCATAATTTTCGGAGTAATTCTCTTGTGTGTAAAACGGCTCTTAAAGAACAAAATAAGTTTTACATCTTTGGCGCTGCTATAAAACTATCAACTTATCTTTCGCTGGTCCATTTTGACTAGACTGAAGCGAGGATGGCCAGGTGCTTGAAGTGGAGGTCCCAGTTATGAGGGGTGACCTCACATTTAGTGGCTTCAGAACCAGTTGTAGGCGAAGTTGAACTTAAAGGCGATGGCGCTGCCAAGGCACATGCATGGGTGAAGTGATAGGCCAAGCAACGCATAGTCAAAGACTAAGGCAAAAGCAAAGTCAAAGACAAAGGCAAAGGGAAAGGGAAAGATAAAGGGAAAGGGAAAGGGGGTGGCCCCAATCATTTTGTCCTATTCGGACACACATTCTACAAAATTCTAGCACATGGTGCTATATGACCTTGTGCTACAGAGAACAACATTCTTAGCTCTTGTTCGATCGGCGGCTCAAGTGAAAAGGAAGCGCGAGGAAGATCGCAGATCAGGAACTCCGCATCAAGCGCTCCAAGCGGAAAATTTTCCAAGTAAAAAGCTAGAGATGGGATTAATGATTTGCGATTCTGAAATGATAATCGAGAAGTGATTTAATAAATACAATCGGACGGTGAAACCGTTACACTCGCCCCTACTTAACCAGAAAAAATTCGAAGAAGCATTCAAGAATTTTTTTAACAAGGAAATTGAAAGTTATCACGGAAGGACAAATGTTCAACCATTCGACCAGATAACAAGTAGCAAAAGCAAGGTAGAAACAAAAATGTTAGAAGAGAATTGGAAGAAAAAGGGATAGCCTCAAGTCTACCAAACAAGATGGATGGTTATAGCACCAACTCGCTGAAAAGTACAGTGAAGTTGCATTTAAAAAAACTATCATCATATGATGAACAATCCAAAACATAAAACATCGTCATACCTAGGACGAGAAAAATAATAAACCAAAAGCTTCAGCAGTAGTCCAAGCACGAAGTGAGGAATCACAATGGCTTCCAAAATGCACGACTGACTACTAAAAACTTCAAAACTAAGTAAGTACCTAAACCATAAGAGATACTAAAACTACTAAAACGGAATAATAAACTTTCTCAAAACAATTGCCAGACGCGCAATACTCCAAACCCAAAAAGAATATCATCTACAGTGATATTTTAAACCAATATCCAATATAAAAAAAACAGTGCAAAATATGAAAATCAAAAGAAATTAACAAATTCCATTAGGAATTCAAGTCATATAACAAAACAATTTACAAGTACTAAACCAATGAAAACTTGATCAATAAGGTATTTTAGTCAAAAAAAGATGTTAACTAAGTGCAGTTCTGATTCCAAAAAAAAATTGTCGGACGCCAGCAGTCTGTAAGACTACAAAATAATTCAAAATGTTTTCAGAGAATTGAAGTATATAAGAGACATTCATGAAATATTGAAGTAAGATTTTCAAAGTCAAAATACAGCTTAAGTTCAATCAATGAACTAAAATTCAAGAGTAAGTTCAATCAAAATTTTCGGGTCATGTGACAACATAAGAACCAGACCAAAAAAAAATTCTGAAATGCAATATAGAAAAGAGCAAAATAAATTTCCAAAAAACTAAGTGCAACACAAGTGCAACTGTAAATCTAATAGTGTTAAAATCCTAAAGTGAAAGTAAATATTAAAGCTACATGAGCATGATTTTATAAAGAATTCTCAAAAAATACAAAAGTAAGCAAAATATTAAAAGTTTCATGAGTAATAATTGAGAAACGAAGTGAGCATATGTAAAATGCAAAATAGCGAAACGAAAATCACAAGATATTTTAATAAATCATGATACATGAGAGTAATGCCGCAAGCAAAAATTGTATGCAAAAGTCTACGATATATGTAGGTGCAAAATTGGAGTTATAAAAAAACAATCTAGTGAACAAGAAATAGAAATAAATATGATAGGTAAGAATTCGAATTTTGATTTAAAGCAAAAATATGAGAGAAAGACAACTTTCTAGGGTCACCATAGGTGCACTCCAAAGCCCTAGACAAAAATGTCTATAGTCTATGGAATATAGTCTATGAAAACTATAATAATTTACCAGTGTAAAGTATGAAAAGAGAATTACTATACTGAATCTATGAGAATTGGCGATTACTTCAAGTCAAGACAGAAATTGAAAGAAATAAGAAGTCGGAAAAAAAAATTATGAGAGCAGACTATCAGAACAAATGCAATAATGCAAAAGAAAAATCACCAGATATTTCAAAATCTATAGCGAAACATGAAAGCAATGTCGCAACCAAGCTCAAGACTTAGCAATAAGCACAAATGTGCACTAAGGCTGAAAGCATATATGAAAAATCTCAAGAAGGAATTGACAATTACTTCAAATCAAATTGACTTGATTGAATTCAATTGAGACATAAATTACTATATCAAAAGTGAGTTTTACTTATACCCAGAGGTTTCAAGAGTTTATCAATACGCACAGATTTGCAACTAGGCGGAAAGCATATATGACAAGTCTCAAGAAGAAAATAAAATGCATATGAAGAAAACACTTTCAATTAAAGAAACTGTGGATAGTACAAGACCCTCAAAGGCATACTTCGCAACAAATCTATGTAACTATCCAGACTACAAAATACTGTCAAAGTTCAAAACCACTCAAAAATATGTGAACAAACATCAAAAGTTTGAACCAAAAATCAATGTAAGTCTGTGCTCTCGAAGAAAGTTATGATTAATTCAAAAAGAGGATACTATCAAAAACTTCAAAAGTAATAGACTTCAAAAATAGAGGTACGTAAGTATGTAAAAGAAATTCAGAAAATATACGCATAAAAACATTATAAAATATTATACACAGTATTTGTCACATGATTTTGATCGGGAATGCAATTTAAATTTTGAGTACACCCAGAAAAATGAAATATTCAAAAGATGAAGTATACACATTAAGTTGGAATCAGAAAAATAATTATGACTTGTAAATTTTGTAAATGGTGGACTGACGTAATAGTTCAAAAGGTTGAAAGAACAACGATGACAAATGTCCAAAGTAAACATTCACCTGCCTTTTACAGGAAATTAGCTTAACAATTTTCAAAGGAAATTCTTATCCGTTCGCATCTGTACTAGGAAATAAATATAGGAAAACCTACTCGCTCCAATGTACAGATCGAAAAACTCGCCCCTTCGATTAAGCGGAAATATGAGTATTGGACAAATTGTAATATTTTAAAAGGTTGAAGGATCAACGATGTTAAATGTCCAAAGTAAACATTCAGCTGCCTCTTACAGCAAATAAGTTTAATCATTATCAAAGGAAATTCTTATCCGTTCGCATCTGTACTAGGAAATAAACATAGGAAAACCTACTCGCTCCAATGTACAGATCGAAAAACTCGCCCCCTTCGATTGAGCGGAAATATGAGTATTGGACTGATTGTAATATTCCAAAAGGTTGAAGGATCAACGATGCTAAATGTCCAAAGTAAACATTCAGCTGCCTCTTACAGCAAATAAGTTTATTCATTATCAAAGGAAATTCTTGTCCGTTCGCATCTGTACTAGGAAATAAATATAGGAAAACCTACTCGCTCCAATGTACAGATCGAAAAACTCGCCCCCTTCGATTGAGCGGAAATATGAGTATTGGACTGATTGTAAAATTTCAAAAGGTTGAAGGATCAACGATGTTAAATGTCCAAAGTAAACAATCAGCTGGCTCTTACAGCAAATAAGTTTATTCATTATCAAAGAAAATTCTTCTCCGTTCGCATCTGTACTAGGAAATAAATATAGGAAAACCTACTCGCTCCAATGTACAGATCGAAAAACTCGCCCCCTTCGATTGAGCGGAAATATGACAAGGATCCAAAACACTATAAAAAACTAACAATACAAACAAAAAGTTTCAATACAAAAACAGGAGCAGCCAAATCTTAAAAAAAAATATTTTATATCTGACATACATTAAAAGAGTACAGAGACGTTCAAGTCCTGTTAATCCAATGGAAAATCAGACACTAATGTTCTA